TTTTGGTTTATTTTCATTTGATTTTTTGCACTCAGTTCTTGTTTTTGATTGAGGGTCAGCTTTGAAAAATCTCTCTGTGTTTTTAGTTTTGCACTATTTTTTTGATATGCCTGTCTGGTGAGGAGAAAGACTGGCCCAACGTGTTTCGCGATCGAAAGTCTGTTATTCAGCTCGACCATAATATGTTAATGTGTAGTCTAGGCTGGCAACCCAGACTGGGTGTGTGGATCTGGGAGCTGAGGTCTGGGGACTGGAGGTCTGTTGTCTATAGCTATCAGCTGAAGCAGCGATTGGCAAAGGTAAACCTTTGTTTTGTGACCCTGCAAACCGATTCATACCGGTTCGGAAAAGCTCTCAGTCCCCAGAAACCTTCCGATCAATTTGTTTTGTCTCCAGACTCGTACTTCCCCCACATCGGCGATGGAATATTCCCAACATTTATGCTGGTATGACATCCAGACAGCATATATATCTCATATGTATACGAGTATTTAGATGGGGATGCCATGACATCATTTGCATGGCCCATCTCAGTTGACTTCGATCTAATTGCCCAGCATCTCTCGGTGAGTTGGCACTTTTATTCATCGATTTGTTTATGCAATAATTGATTATTGTGTTTATGTTTGGCCACTCAATTGAAAGGCTTTCTTTTCAATTTTATCGTTTATTTTTTTGGCAAACTTATTTGAAGGAAACGTTTTTTTTTTGGGTGGGTCAAGAAACTCAAGTTGGGAATTTTCTATTTGAATTTTTTAGGTTGGGCTTGGAGTGTTTCCACTGCGAAGATACTGCGTAGATTTAGTTGTAAGTGTATTTTTTGTATAAAAAATATTGTTAATATCATTATTGTAAACTTTTAGATAAAAACCTTTTATAATAAAGTCAATGACATTTGCTAAATGTAGTTGAAAAGATTAGGGGTTTGTTTATGTTTTTTCTTGTCACATCAAGGTTTCTCTGACTTTGGTTTCTGATTACACAGTCTGACATCACGGTAAAGCATTTCATGTTTCTAGGCAAAAATGTTGGGTATAATTTGAGCTTTATCTTTCAACTATAAAAACAAGGGAACTGGAGATGTATAAGTAGAATAGGGTAAACTACAAATTTTCGTATTTATGGACGGCTGGATTAACGACACTTGTTGCTGACTGTTGAAGTGCTCTTTTGTTTGGGGGGGCAATGGTAATTCTTAGCTGGAAATTGGAATTTCATGGAGTAAAACTGCTGACGCCATTTGTCGAGCATACGCCGCATTGCCCCACGGCTGATTATACGAGTCGCGAATGCGAATGTGCTCAAGCTAAAACATAATTGGTTACAACTGACCCAAACCAGTCCGGATCGGATGGCCAACTCGGCGACTCAAAGAGTGAGTTGAGCAAATAGAGAGAGTGAGCTTTATTATCAGCGTGGAGAACACGCTGTCGATGGCGATGTAGAGTCTTCTTATCACGGGGATCTCGGATTTTCTCTTACCCTTTCTTCAAACTTTAGGCAGTGTTCCGGTTTTTGGCCATAACACGAATGATATCTTATCTGGCCTTCAGCAATGTAGTTCAAATAGCAGTGACATTACTCAGAGCCATTCAGTTTACTAAAACTTAAATCCGATTCTGCGACGTAGTTCTGGGATATAAAGATATTCAATGCAAAGAAGCACTTCCCTTCTTCTAAAATTTTTATTTCAAATTTATCTTCCCGCATTCAAGTAAATCCCATCTGGCAATCTTCCCCTAATTGTTAACCCATTAAAGCACTTCGTTATGGAGGCGTTGTCACTGGCATTTTTGCGTCGCCAAGCGCCCTAATTGATGCCAACAGTTTTGTATATCTATTTATAAACATTTTCATAGAATAATAATAATTGCTGCTTGCCCGGCAAACAAAAGAAATTGTGTCATAAAAGCTTAATCAGCGGCAAACAAAAGCCAACAAACATTCGAACCAATTGAAGGTTCACAGAAGGGAAATTCGATATATAGAAGATAGGGTTTTCAAGCGATAGTTGATAAACTCGAGGAAGTACACTGTGGAAAAGGGTTTAAGGATCATTAGGTAAATTTTATTAAATTTATTAAAAATGTTTTTAAAAATGTTCTTTACTTTACACACAAAAAGGGTAGAATATTAGTGAATTTTTCAATAAATCTATAAAACCTTTCCCTAAATTTCTTTCCGTGTAAGATGGGAGAACCGACCGAAATGCATCTCCATTTAAAAGGAAAGAGAAAGCAATAGAACAGCTGAAAGAGAGGGGGAGAACATTAATCAGTTAATAAAAATGAATTTAGTTCATTGTTATAAGATACCAATGGATTCCCCAATTTCTTTTTGAGTGAAATGGGGAAACACAAGTAAAAGGGATGAAGTGCATTCTTTCTTTGAATAAACAGAGAGAGAGTGAGTGAGAGGTCACAATAGCATTCTAGAAAGAGAGGGCGAGAACGAAGAATACTCATTTTCAGTTGCAGCTTACAGCTGGCCACGAAACTTTGCTGGCACGCGAAAGCATTTAAAACCGACAACAGTCGGTGAACTTGATGTCAAAACGAGTCCAATTGTCACGCGAGCAGCAGCTAAAGATCGCGAGCGGGAGGCCAACAGCTGATCGCTGTGTGTGTGGGTGAGAGAGTGAGAGGGAAAGTCACTCAGGATTAGCGAACCAAGAAGCAGAGGATTGTCTCTTGGCAAAATGTAAAAATACATAAAGAAATTGCCTAATTAGTAAGTTCAATCCTTGATGGCCATTACCATACAAAAATAACATTTTCGAAACATTTCGCAAACGTGTGTGAAAAAAACCAGACGCAATAACAGTTTATAATACAAAAATAACAGCAAAGAAAAACCACAAAAAACGAACGGTTCAAGGACCTAAACTAAAGGAAATGAATAGTGAAAATTGAAAATATATACAGATAATGTTATGTAAGTTTTTGTTCACAAAAAGTCTTGAGAAACATTCGTAAATATTTAAAAAGTAAAATTGGAATATAATTTATTGACTTTAACTATTGTGGTAATGTTAAACTTGAAACTAAAAGTGAAAAACATAGATACCCTCTAATATAATAGTAATGGGAGTGTAGACTTAAGCCCCCTTAAATAGAAAGCGTTCAGAATCTATTTCTTAAACACGCTAAGAGCCAGACACGAAAATCTCCTTTGTTTGTTTTGTTTTGAAGAGACTAAGAAAACATTTGAACGCAAATACACCCTAAGTTAAATTCCTTTTAACCTAACATCTTTGCATAAGCATAATCTAGGTGTTGTTAATATTTGTCCAACAAATTAATACAGTCCCGAAGATGATAGTCGTAATTCTCGCCCCTGATGTGTTAGCGCCTCTTGATTTGATATTCGCATTTTTACGCCTTTTTATTGTTTGTTTTTCAAGTAGGTGCTAAAGTTAGTCGGAGACTGTAAGAGGATCTGTCGAATGGCATATAAATGCAGATTAGTCATTTAATTCAGTGAAAATCCCCATTTGATCGGTGGATAACAGGGCGTATGCGCGATGAGTAATGCAATCTATATAAATTTGATATGGGAGAGTTCTTTGGTTGCTCTAGAAAAGGGCCATAGGAGCCCTGCACTTTCTTTGTTCCTTTGTTGAGAGCAGACAAAACAAAGGAAAGCTCAATGAAAATGCAAATATTTGCAAGAGTAATGTGTATTTTCCGGCTCTTGTGAAAGATCATCCATCTGGCAAGTACAGTTGGCCAAGATCGAAAGAGCAGCCAGCACGTTTCTGCTGTATTTTTGTGCTTCTTTTTTTTGGGTTGGGGGAAAGTGCGATAAGATCAAACCCGTATTTTGCGTTATGGCATTGAGTTTCTGTTTTTTTTTTTGTTGGCTACGCACCTAACTCGTTAGCACATGGAAGTTGGCTACTTGAGTGGTACAACGTCTGAAATTGGGCATTATCTAATCGTAGGTTGGTGGGCCATATGCCGCCTCGTACTCGCCTTACCCACTTGATTGGGTTTTAATTGCATTAGAGCATTAGCCATGGGCTTTGATTTCCGATTAGTGTTGCCAACAAATTGATATTTATTTATGGCCCACTGTTCATTCTGCTTTAGCTACCACTGAGCCTCAAGTGTGTAATAAATTGTCGTCTACTAATTGCCAAAGAATATTGATTAATCACATTTGGGCTTTCTGCTAACATGTTACTTCTTCTCTAATGATTTAATTACTATGAGAGCAAAGTTCAAGTGTTCTTTTGCTATCATATCTTGTCTGTCATTGCAAGTATTCTCAAGTGCCTTGTTTCTGGCCCATTTAAAATGTAACTTTGTTAAAATAATAATAAAAAGTAAATTTGTGGTTATAATTGCACTTAAAATCTGAAAGAAAGCAAAAATAAAACAGATATGGCAAAAGGAAAGCGACCCAAAAAAAAACCATAATCAATACATATTACAAAATCGCTATGATTGTGATGAATAATTAGCAGAATAATCGTAATATAGTGAATCAGCCAAGAATTTCCCCCTTTCAAAATGATATTATGAAAAGACGACGAACGCGAAAAGATTAAGTCAGGCAAAAACCACTAGGGACATTTATTTATAGGGCGAGCTAATCGAAATTATTCAAAAGGGGAGTTTGTCTTGAGAATTAGCATGGCAATTCAGTTTGCATGCGCTAGTAAAGTCCGATCACAAGGGTGGGGTATGGGGTAGTAAATTAAATGAAATCGTATCGAATCCAATCAAGTATACGTCGTGTGGTCGATCGTAAAAACTAAACCCAACCGAAAAACGCACAAATCTCGAGCTTTGGGGCCAGGGATATTTGTTTGTTTTTCACAGGTTTTGGATTTAATTATGACCTGTTTTCTGGTCCGCCTGTTGAATTTGATTTGCCGCCGCCGCTGCCACTGTCGATGCCGCTGCCAGTCGACGTTTTGCTGCGCGAACAGAACAGCTGTTTGGCGTTTTTAATAAACAATCGTCGGCATTTGGCAGCTCAGTTTGTGAGGAGCGTTCGGCGGATACACATCGCACCCATCGCTCTTGGCCAGCTCGTCCCAACGGGCCTTAACGGTTCCGTCAAGCGCACTAATAAAGCCAAAAAAACTAAAACAATATTAACACAACATTTGTTTAAATCAATTCAAGCGTGCGCGTTTTTGTGATTATCCAAACAGACAAACATCCAACTTCCCTTCTAAATCTCGGGCTGTGAAAATATTTTCATTTTTTATTGGCCGTGGCGTGTGAGTGGTTTCAGTAAACGGCGAGCCATTGAACTTTGAAATATAGAAAATATTTGGAAAGACATCAACAAAAACACATATCTATACATCCTTATACTAATTGCTGTCGGGAAATTCTGTTTGCGGTGCGTCGCAGAAAATCTGTTGTTTCTACGCTGCAAGAATTGTTTAAATTTATTCTTTTGTTTGGCCCGATCTGTTTTGTCGATTGTTTCGTAAACAAAATTGTGGCCTGAATTTTCAGTTTCCCACATTGATTCTAACAAGAGGTAAATAAAATTATAAATTTTATAAAATAAAGTCAACCTAATGTGTTTATTAGATTTGGTAAAGCATAACTCCCAAAGCAATTAAGTATTTTTTGGCTCGGCCTTCAAAAGTTTCAACACATGATAGATTTTGTGAATAATATGTAATCAGAAGGGACCTTGGATTCGTTTTACAGAATTTATAAAAAGTGGTTCTTAGAGCAAAAAACCGAAATAAAAACCAGTTGCAAACACCCCAAGAAAATGAAGCTCTCTATCAAATTATTTATTTATTTCGACAAGATGTAAATCCATAATATTCCTAGTAGACACGCTGTTGTCAAGTGTTCAACTCCAAGCAAGAGCAAAAACTATTCGGAGAAATCCAGTCGGGCAATACCTGGTCTATGTAGTCACATGCACGTGCTCGAGCGTCTATTGAAAGTCGATTTCGTAGTACTTGACAACAGTCTCCGAGTGGATTTATGGCCCTGGTATTAGTCAGACCCACATCTAACACTTTTTTTCGGCTTTTTATCTAAATGAACGCCTATATAAATATTTTGCCAGCGATAAGTCCATGTAACTGACTGTGGAACCCGCCCGTTTCAGCCCGAACAATGTTTGGCCAAAGTCTGATCGCAGTTATCTCTGGTCCCCGGATTAGCGAACAGTAGTCTAGAGCTTATCTAGACTGGCGAATCATGTCCAATATGGTTAGCCCTGAGTGGAAATGTTGTTTTCCAATTGATTTTCTCGCTAAATTCCTGCCCAACGTGCTAAACGAATCTATTTATTTGCTTATTACAATTATTTTTAGCGAATTAGCAGGGAAAAGTTAACGGGTATTCGATTACAGAACGTGGCCAGAAAAATCAGGTTAGCAAATAAAAATACAGTCGTAAAAATATCTAATTTATCCGAAAGAAAATTCGAAATAAATAAGACTTTCTAATCTTTATTGAGAGATTTATTTAGTAAATTTAAATTTGAGTGAGAAAATAAACATAGATAATATTTCTTAAAAATATTCTCTATATTAATGGACTTCGCAATGTTATAAACAAGACAAACAAAGTCGGTATGTTTTGTATGAGATTATTGCTTGTGAAAATATTTATTTAATTTCTTTGTTGTCAGTTTAGTATGATTTACGGTCCATAATAATCTTATCTAGATACAAAAAGTGACGTTCAATGACCCCTATTAACAATACAACCACGATTTTCATTGCAGACCAAGCCAAAGCAACAAATGTGACAACTAACAATAAATTGTGATAGAACAACGCTGATCCTTGGACTTACATCCATTTCCCCTAAACGATCAGCATTCGGAGACCAAGTCACAATTATACATAGTACAAACCCAATTACCAACTCAACTTAGCTTCAATTAAACTCACTTCAACATGGATTTCGATCAGATTCTGGCCAAATGTGGCGACTTCAATCGCTACCAGTTCATGATACTCGCCCTCTTTGGGTTTATTAATATCATCGTATCGATGGTGAGTTTACTTCAATGTACCATCTTTAGTTTACATTATTTATTATATTAATTTCCGATTTTCTAGCATTACTTTACACAAACAGTCATTAGTTTTGTGCCAGATCATTGGTGCTATCATGATAAGCTAGTGAATATGACCTACAAGGAGATCGGTGATATCTACGCTCAGTTCGAGAAGCCCTCGTGCACCCGACTGGAGGACATCAACGGACACAATGTCACCGTCAGTAGCAAGCCCTGTGAGAAGTGGATCTACAACTATGATTTTGGCTACAGGAGCATGAACACTGAGGTAAATAAGGTTTTTCAAATCGATAAAGTTCGTATTCTTACTAAAAATCTTTATTTTATATAGCTAAACTGGGTCTGTGACTCGGCGTACAAGGCACGTATTGGACAGTCCCTGTTCTTTATTGGCTCCGTGGTGGGCACTCTCTTCTACGGTCTGCTCTCCGATAAGATTGGCCGTGTTCCCGCCCTAATCTTGTCAAACTTCTGCGGTTTTGCCGGTGATTTCTCCACCATATTTACCAAAAGCGTGGCCACCTTCACCCTCTGCCGTTTCATTTCCGGTCTGGCAGCCGATACTAACTTTTATCTGATGTACATTATAGGTGAGTCAAGAGGTGTCTATAAAAATGATTAGAGTTGTTAGATCATGTTAGACATTTATTGGTTTCTAAGTTCCATTAAGCAGGGAATGTGTGCCCAAAGTTAACATTTTAAACTTGCTTTAAAAGCAAATGCAATCACAATCTTGAAAAGTGGATTGCTTGATTTGTAGTTGAAAAGAATTAAGCACATTTTTCAGAATTTTTAAATTGAATTAGTTTGATACCCTTTGATTTTAGATAGTATTTTAGTTTATTCTTCTTCTTTGCTTATTAATAATTAACTTTCCCACAAACAGTGCTCGAATATATCCGACCCAGCATGAGAACTCTGGGTCTTAACATGGCCGTGGGCCTATTCTATTGCCTGGGTCTGGTCTTTACACCGTGGCTGGCAGTTTTGGTGGGTCATTGGCAGATCTACTTGGCCTGCACATCGCTCCCAATTCTACTGGTGGTGCTGTATTATTTTGTGGTGCAGGAAAGTGCCCAATGGTTGGTGACCAGGAATGACATCGATGGAGCCATCATGAGGCTGAAGAGGGTGGCCAAGTTCAATGGCTGCCGAGTGCCGCAGTCGGACTTCGATGAGTTCCGACGACACTGCCAGATGACCCGGGAAATGCAGGGCGGCGATGACAAGAAGCAGGCCACTTTGCTGGACATGTTCAAAACGCCACGCATGCGTAAAAACACACTTATTCTGTTCTTTAAGAGGTGAGTTGGAATTATGGTTATAATAATATTATTATCTAATTTATAGAATATAACCCATGAATTATGTTATATATTTTATATGTTTACCTTTATTTTTCTTCAATCACAGCATGGTGATCACTCTGTGCTACGATGCAGTCTCCCGTAACGTGGAGGGCATGGGCATCTCACCCTTCATCATGTTCTCGCTGAGTGCCTTGGCTGTGCTGCCCTCGAGTATTCTGCTGGTCCTGCTTCAAGATCGCATTGGTCGCAAGGGCATGGCCTCGGGATCCCTGCTGGTAGGTGGACTCTTCACAGCCGCCGCTGGAATAGCGATTGCCTATCAGCAGCACAACCACAATGCAATTTTGCTGGCCTGTCTGACGATTGCCGCTCGTTTTGGAGTGGCCATCTCATACGAGTCGGGATCTCAGTATGCCACCGAACTGATCCCCACCTGCGTGAGAGGTCAGGGCGTGGCTGCAGTCCATGTGGCCGGATTTGCGGCATCCTTCCTGGCGCCCTACATCCTCTGGCTAGGCACTTTCTTCAAGGCGGCGCCCTCTATTATCCTGGGCGTCCTCTTCTTCGCAGGATCCTTCGTCTGCCTGCTGCTGCCAGAGACGCTAAACAGGTATGTAATTAATGATAATTATTTAATCAAGAAATCACACAGCCTTAAAGTTAAAAGAGACGAATTTAGACATTTTATTAATATTTTAACTTAATTTTTAAAGCCAATAAAAACAAGTTTATTATCAATACAATTTAAAGCACGCAGCTTGTTAATTGGTTGATCACATTTCGTTCAAATTTTAATCAAGAATGATTGATGATTATTAAGTTCATCATTAAAATATCTAATATTGATCATTAATCAAGATTTGAAAGTGATTTATTAATTTGAGCCATTAATCAGCATTAAATACAGCGGGCAATATATTATGGAAAAATGTTTAACTTACCTAATAATATTATATAATAAATATAAAGTCTTACGAAAATACTATGCTTATACAAAATGTATAGATAATAATTATCTGCTTACCAAATTATACTAATATTTTATATTTTGTTGCAGGAGCCTTCCCACGACCATCGAGGAGGGCGAGGTGTTCGGAAAGGGCGAGCGTATGTTCGACTTCCCATGCCTGCACAACAGGAACGATGATGAGGAATCCGATTCCGAGCTGGAGAAGTACAAGCGGAAGCACTCCCTGATCGATGCCAAGCAGATGCAGATGGAGTCCACCTCGAATGGAAAGCGCAAGCAGTCCTTGATCGATGCCGATCGCGAGGAGCAGGCTCTGAAGGACGCCAAGCACTGAGGGGCGATGCTCCGCTCTCAGTAGTTCATAGTTTAGCTAACCAATTTGTCGCCTAGAAACTAAGAACCCATTTCCCCTAAATAACATCCAGGCTAAGATCCAGACTAACTCGATTCGATGGCCAGTAGTAGTTGGGTGCTAACAAAATGTGTGCTCAAAAGCCTTTTCTTATATATGAATAGAGTGTATCCTTATAAATTATATATATATATATATATATTTATATATATATTTGTACGTATATCTACCTACTCTAGCTGGTAATTACCTAGGGCTTAGCTGTACATTTAACTCGATTGAAAATTACTGTTTTTTCCAAAACGCTGATTGTGTAAGAATGGAATCGTATAGTTAACACTTAAGCGGCACAAAATCACTTAACTACAAAAAATTGAATATGCTTATCGTAAGAGTTTTTCATACCTTCATGTACATAAGTGCGATACTACTTAGGCCAGTAACTGAATGTTCTATTTTTGATTTTGATTTTTAAGCAAATGAGAACCTTTAAGCAAACTGATAATAATTATTTAAAGTCTAGAAAACAAAATATTAAATATACAAATCAAAAAATTCATTTTACTTAAAAGTGGTTGAGTTTTTTTTGGCGAATGCATTTTTTGACATATTTTTCAGATCTAACTACCATTTGGTATAGGGCTAGTTGGTTCAAAGTTTAAACAGGTTGAAACTAATGTTAATTTAACACCAAATTTGGATAAGTTATTCCTATTTTTTCGTCAATGCTTTGGTTTTTTTTAGTTTATCAAAAAAGGGGAAATATTTCTTGTAGTTTTCAAAGTGTTTTTAGCGGTTTATTGATTCAATAATTTCCTGATTTTAAAAATATTACTTATTAATTCAATTAAATATAACTTTTATGTTTTATATTTATAAATTTATTGTGAAAGAAAAAGGAGTACATCATATATTTATAGCAGTTCTGTTTTGGATATATATAAGTTTGGATATATGTATTCTTAATAACGGTTTTGGTTTAATTACTATGCATCCTTCACATGAGTAATAACTATCAGACCATTCGGTTGCAGGGGTCAATATTCCGTTGACCCCATCATCAGGTTAAGTGGCTAGCTGGTTAAACAGTAGTCAACTTTCAGGTGCATCATTCTCTAGGGTTCAGACTTAGGATCCTCATGCTTGGTCAGACTTTCACGGCGTTTATGGAAGCATGGGAAGTAAAGGCAGCTCTCGTTCATCGCAAAGCGTTCGCCATCGGCCAGGGTTTCAGGGAGTTTTCTGATTATAATAATAAATTAGTTAAAAGGATCTAACTTAACTTTGATATCTTTCACTTACTTATGCAGAGTTTCTGGAAGGGTCAGGCAAAGTATAGCGCCCAAGAACATCAAAACACTAATAAAGATCGAGGGCAGTGGCTTGTAGTATTGAGCAAGGTAGATCACATAGAAGGCCAACGAGCTGGAGGCCAATCCCACCACATGAATATTGGACACCGCCTGACCTCGCACACTGGTTGGTATGATTTCCGCCGCATATTGAATCTCTGCATCATAGGAGACAGTGGTGCCAAAGCGTCCCAGACCCACCATCAAAGCCAGCAAGACGGCATTCTCGTTGGGATCCAAGACCGCAATCAGGAACCCTGTGGCGGCGGTGATGATAGCACCCACCAGTAGAGCACCGCAGGCCATGCCCTTGCGACCAATCTTGTTCTGGAGCAGTAAAATTGTAAAACCTGCTGGTAGATAGACACTAGAGGTCAGTGAGAAGAGCTTGAAGGGTGAGGAGCCCAGGCCTTCCATGTTCCTGTTGATCACATCGTAGGATAGAGTAATTATGACCCTGGAATAAACAGAAAGTTTAGTCATTCAAATCATATTAGAAGAACAATAGACTTACGATTTAACTAGAAGAGTGGTGGTGAATCGGCGCAGCCTGGGAGATTTAAACATTCCCAGAAAAGTATCAGTCTGCTTGTTCAGTTTGCTCTCCTCGTTCATCTTCTCACGATAATGCTTCACAAACTCATCAAATACAGAGTCCTCCACCTGGCGACCATTAAACTTGGCCACTTTCTTTAGGCAAGCCACCGCCTGATCGTACTTTTTCTTGGTCAGCAGCCACTGAGCACTTTCACAGATCAGCAGTGGATAAGTAAGGACACCGAGAGCTGGAAGAGATGCCAGCCAAAGATAGCGACGCCAGTTGCCAATCCACATGGCGATCCAGGGCGAGGTCACCAGTCCAAAGCAATAGAATACAGCCAGGATGATGTTCAGGCCAAAGGTGCGACGTTTGGGGCTTAGGTACTCGAAAACTAAATGTAAAATTAAATTATTCTGTAAACTTTAACATAACTTGTTGCAAAAACTTACCCAGGATGTACATAAGGTAGTACATGGTATCCGTAGATAGTCCTGACACGAATCTGGAGAAGGCAAACCAAGGCAGCGTGTGGACAAAGGAGGTGATAAAGTCCCCAGTTGCCCCGGATAACGAAGCCATTAACATGGCGGGTAGTCTACCAATGTGGTCCGAAAGGAAGCCAAAAGAAATGGTGCCCACCACAGATCCCAGGAAGAAGAAGGATTGACCCACCGCTGGCTGGTGAGATTTGTCACAGACCCACTTCAGCTCGGTGGTTAGACTTTCATACCCGTTTTCCCTTTCAAAGATCCAGTCTTGGCAGGTCTCCTCCTCTGAGGCCACCCCAGTGCCGTTGATCACCTCGGAAAGTAGAGTACAAGAGGAGTGTGAAACATTGGAGTAAATGGAACGTAGTTCCTCAGCACTTAAGCCCATCAAATCATCATGGGAACACCTGAAAAATAAAGGTTATTAATCACTCACTTTGAAGTTAAATAAGTCAATATAATTTATACTAACAATAATTCACCGAACAAATTTAAGAATAAATTGAGAAAATAAAGTTTTTTATTTTTTTAATGCTTTTTGATTCGTTTTAGTATAATTTTTGTAAGAATAAAATTGTTAAAACTTTTAAAACAAGTCTTTTAGATAACAAATAATAATATTATTAATCCATTAAAATGTTATTATAGATCACTAATTCACAGTTTTTTACTATTACTTACCAGTGCTCTGGGGTAAAAGTAATGAGAGTCTGTGAGAAATAGTGCAACGAGCTAAGTATATTCGTATAGCCATACAGAATTAGTATGACAAACTGAAACCGGCCAAAGTTTCCACACTTCTCGAGCACGCGGTCGAAATCCATACTGATCTCGAAGGGATTTTACTTGGCTGATAATATCTGTACTGTACTGGGTAAAGACACTTTGTTTATGTAGACAGCGCGTTGAATCTTCCAAGGAAAAGAGTCAACTACATTCTGCCTTAACGCTCAGTATTTTGACGCCCAACTTGGATCGGCACCTGCCTTATATAGTATAAAGATAAAGGCGTTGCCGCTGAATAGAATGGGTAATTAGTAACACCGAGATTGGGCTAGGCAATCTCTCCGCTAGCTTTTTTGGGGTGTGTGCCGATGATAAGATGAGATGATCAGATAAAGACACCAGAGCAAACATTAAGTCAAACAGATGCAGGAATAACCCTACACAGGAGTTTGTTTGTTTACATCTCATAACAATGGAAACTGATAGAGGAACACTAAAACTTCACCAAACATTTGAAAGTGTTATAAATTCAAACTTAGTAGGCAATGGCCTTGACTTCTAGGGGCCGTGTAAACGGGCCTTTTATGAAATGCGTTTTCATCCGCTTATCAGGCATTTAACTTGGTCAAGTTACGGACTTTCTCGAAAATGTTCGTCTGTAGCTGGTTTTGTTGACTTAGCCTTAGATTTATAACAGATTTAGCCACTGCCGTGCTGTAAGTCACGCCTGAAATGAAGTCTTTTTAAAAGGGGGGATTAACCTGGATACGGGGACTCTTTGTTTGTCGCCTGACACTTTAATGGGTTCCCCCGTTCAGAGATATAGATTATATATAGTATAGATTACAGGTCTACCTCTCACAGGCGCCAAAAGACGCCTCTCAAAAAATGCAGTAATAAGCTTATCTCACCGGCAAATAAATGTTCCGGAACCATCAGCGTGATCCATATAAAACATGCCTTAGACAAGTGCTACAAAGGTTTGAACAAGCCAAATGAGGGTCCGTAACTGGCCACTACGCAACTTTATAGATGTCTGAGTCTAGGATTAAATGGGTCTGAATTCTGGAAACGCGATCGGTATGTGATGAAATCGGGTACTTTTAGTACTCGTATTACCCGTAATCGTAAAAACTTGAATTATTGTCTTAATAGCGTAATTCCTACAGCCACTCATAAAACTTAAGAATCCAGTAAACATATTTTGGTATTATTTTGTATTCATTAGAATTATCTTTTATTATATATTTTATACACTTATTATAACTACTTTGTAATTTCGTTGGCTGACTCCAACTGAGATTCGGATTTATTCGACTGGTGATTACGCGAAAAGCAGGGAAAGAAATACCATTTCTCGCCCTTGGCGAATACCTCGCCCTCCTCCAGAGTTTGAGGGAGTTGTCTACAGGAATTGATATATGTATATTCAAGGAATCGGTGATATTTTTATAAGAAAACTTACTTGTGCAAAGTTTCCGGAAGAGTCAGGCACAGACAACCGCCAATGATGAGCAGGAAGCTAATCAAGAACGAAGGTAATGGCTTGTAGAAAGTCCCCAAGTAAATGATGTAGGAACTGAAGAACGCAAAGGCATTGCCCACCACGTGGATGTTAGCTACTCCTCTTCCACGAACACTTGTTGGGATAATCTCTGCTGCGTACTGGGCCTCAGCATCGTAGGCAACCACGGCTCCAAATCTCGCCAAGCACACCATGACTCCCAGGAGTACGGAGTAGTTAGCTGGGTGTAGAGTGCCTACGAGGTAACCAGTGGCCGCCGTGATAATGGCACCCACAAAGAGCGAGGCGCAGGCCATACCCTTTCGACCTATTTTGTTCTGGAATAGGATTATGGTGAGGCCACCAGGAAGAACGACAAATCCAGAGTAGAAAAAGAGCTTGAAGGGCGATATTCCCACGCCCTCTACATTGCGACCGAGAATATCAAATGCAATTGTGATTATCATTCTGAAAAAATATTTGAGAAATTTAAAAATATTGTGTATAATTATCTGGATTTAACTCACGATTTGACCAACAGAATAATGGTGAACTTTCTAAGTCTGGGAGTTCTCAGCCCCATAAAAGTATCTGAGGACTTCTCTTGGGAACTGTTCAACTTCTCGCGATAATGTTTGATAAACTCATCGAAAACAGAGTCGTCCACTTGACGTCTGTTAAATTTGGCGACGCTCTTTAGATTCTTAACCGCCTTGTCGAATTTTCCTTTAGTCAACAACCACTCGACGCTCTCATGAAGACACACAGGGAAAAGTAGCATTCCCAGGGCTGGAAGAGAGACGGCCCACAGGTAACTACGCCAGTTGCCCACCCAAATGGCTATCCAAGGGGATACCACTAGACCAAAGCAGTAGAAGACTCCCAGGATGATGTTCAGACCAAAGGTGCGGTGTTGAGGACTCAAGTACTCGAAAACTGGAAGGTCAGGAAATTATAAATACTGTATACGATATGCCAGGCTAATGTAATTACCCAAAATGTACATCAAAACATACTGTGTGTCCGTCGAGAGACCAGATATGAAGCGTGAGAAGGAAAACCAAGGCAGGCTTCCTACAAAAGAGGTGAAGAAATCTCCAGAGGCTCCTGTTAAAGTTGACAAAACGCAAGCAGGAAGTCGTCCAATCCGATCAGCTAAATAACCAAAGAATATACTTCCAAGGGCTGATCCAATGAAGAAGAAGGACTGACCCACTGCCAATTTGTAGGCATCGTCGCAAACCCACTCGAGCTATAGTCAAGATTTTGAACGAGAGTGTTTCATTTTGAAATTCGCTTTCTACTTTTGGGCTGAAATATACCTCGGTGGTAATACTTTCGTAGTTGCTTTCCGTTTCGAAATCCCAGGATGAGCATTTGTAATCTCGAAATGTGGATAAGTCTTCATCGTATTTGATAACATTACAGGCCAGCAGGGATGTAGAATTCGATTGGAAGTGTTCTGGCTTAGAACACCTGAAAAATGAATAATTTTCAGAATATATATTTTTTCTATTTATTATATTTTGTTTGTTAAAAACACAACTCAATATATATGAATAAGCTATAACTACTAACTTCTTTGATGAAATTTGACTGTAGTTTAATTTGGAGATTACTGCTCACCTGTGAGAAGGCGTGAAACTAATCAGGGTTTGCGAAAAGTAGTGCATCGAGGACATAATATTGGTGTATCCATAGAGTCCCAGCAACAGGATCTGGTATGGACCAAAGTTTCCACATTTCTCCAGGACACGCTGGAGATCCATTTCGGGACAAGAAACTGCCTTGGTCGCAGAAAGCCGACTGATGTCGACGAAGGGGTGGAGCAGCTGGTATATACGCTATTCTGGCCGCTGGCTTTATAAGGCTAATACTTGGCAAACACATAATATGTATTTTCAGCTAGTTTATCTCACTTTGGGGACATTAGGAAGAAAACTCTTCAACCATTTCCGACGTCTGGCGTGTGGAGAGTTTCGTTTGGATCCCAAGGGGAGATTATTAATGTGACGCCCGCAAAAGCATAAGTATGACCTTCTTATCTTTTTTGTATTTAGTGTCCCAGTAAGCCGAAGTTGTCTCGTTATCATCTCATTTTATGTCAATGTCTTAAAATTTTTATTATAATTACCACTTTCTATAGATTATATTACGCATACATCTTTTAATCTTTAGACGGGAGTCCTATACCCATAATAATATTCCGCATGCGGCCAAGAGATTTGTTGGTTTAGGTATGAGGGGATACGAATTTCACAATGCAAACGCGGTTAAAAGATTGTTACCACATCTTATTCTTTAGAATAATAAGGACCCAGAAACTTCGCTGGAATTTCGTTAAGTCATAGACTCTGATGCTTGGCCAACACAAATAAGCTGACTCTGAGTTCCAGAAATGTAAATACAAAATATAAAATCGGAAATGTTTTTGAAACTTAGAAACAATTATGAAATCATAGTGCTAATTTTCTGGAACGACTCTACTTGGGATGCAGATTAATTTTTTTGCTGTCTACTTGTTTAAAGACTACTTGTAATACCTAAATAACGAATATTTTCTGATAAACAAAATAGCATAGATAATATAATATTTAGGAAGATATTATTTCGCAATAGCCATCCAAATAAAGGCACAGACATGGGGAACCCCTTCTGAGCAATATTCAAGCTTATTTAGTGTTTTAAAGTTAAGTGTGTTTGTAAGGCTCGAGCTATTTACTTGATTTCAAATAATTTCAAACAGCTGCTTATGACGGTTAACCTATCCAAATTCGAGTGCATTAAGTACTACAAATTTTAACCAGTGAATGTTTTTGCAACGATTTCAATCTCAGTACTACACCATTCCATCACAGAATGTTTTTTTAAATCTGTAGTAATTTCTGAGATTTATATGTTTTTAATTGCTTATCATAAAAATGAAGACAAAAGTAAACATGTTTTCATATTATTTTGTATGGTTTTATTATACATCTAAAAAATTTATTATGTCTAGTTTGTAGTTTAGTTGGCTGATTCCAACTGAGATTCAGATTTATTTGTTTTTTGTTTGCGCGAAAAGCAGGGGAAGAAATACCATTTCTCGCCCTTGGCAAATACCTCGCCCTCCTCCAGAGTTTGTGGAAGTTGCCTGCAGGGTTTGATAATTTAGATATATTAAAGGAAACAGTTATATTTTCATAAAAAACTTACTTGTGCAAAGTCTCCGGAAGAGTCAGGCACAAACAACCACCAATAAGAAGCAGGAAGCTAATCAAGAACGAAGGTAGTGGCTTGTAGAAAGTCCCCAAGTAAATGATGTAGGAACTGAAGAACGCAAAGGCATTGCCCACCACATGGATGTTAGCTACTCCTCTTCCACGAACACTTGTTGGGATAATCTCTGCTGCGTACTGGGCCTCAGCATCGTAGGCAACCACGGCTCCAAATCTCGCCAAGCACACCATGACTCCCAGGAGTACGGAGTAGTTAGCTGGGTCTAGAGTGCCTACGAGGTAACCAGTGGCCGCCGTGATAATGGCACCCACAAAGAGCGAGGCGCAGGCCATTCCCTTTCGACCTATTTTGTTCTGGAATAGGATTATGGTGAGGCCACCAGGAAGGACGACAAATCCTGAGTAGGAAAAGAGTTTGAATGGTGATATTCCCACGCCTTCCACATTACGACTAAGGATGTCGAATGCAATTGTGATTATCATTCTGAGAAAAGATTAAGAGATAAATAAGAGCATTGGTTATACTTCAAGAGATTCAACTCACGATTTGACCAGCAGAATAATGGTGAACTTTCTCAGTCTGGGAGTTCTCAGCATGCCCATAAAAGTATCTGAAGATTTCTTTTGCGAGCTGTTCAACTTCTCGCGATAATGCTTGATGAACTCATCGAACACAGAGTCTTCCACTTGACGTCTGTTAAATTTAGCAACACTTTTCAGATTATTAACTGCCTTGTCGAATTTTCCTTTAGTCAACAACCACTCCACACTTTCGTGAAGATAGACAGGGAAAAGTAGCATGCCCAGGGCTGGAAGAGAGGCGGCCCAGAGATAACTACGCCAGTTACCCAACCAAATGGCCATCCAGGGTGAAATCATTAGGCCAATGGAGTAAAAAACACCCAGAATGATGTTTAACCCGAAGGTGCGGTGTTGAGGACTCAAGTACTCGAACACTACAATGTTATTTTGTTATTTATACTTTATAACTTGTGCAGGATTTGTCTACTTACCCAAAATGTACATCAGGACATACTGTGTGTCCATAGATAGTCCGGAAATGAAGCGTGTGAAGGAGAACCAAGGCAGGCTTCCAACGAATGAGGTGAAGAAATCTCCAGAGGCTCCTGTCAAAGTTGACAAAACGCAGGCAGGGAGTCGTCCAATCCGATCGGCTAAATAACCGAAGAATATACTTCCAAGGGCTGATCCAATGAAAAAGAAGGACTGACCCACTGCCAATTTGTAGGCATCGTCGCAAACCCACTCGAGCTGTGTTCAATATTTCAAAAAATTATAGTATATAGTTTGCTTTTCATTTTTGGACTAAAACTTACCTCGGTGGTAACACTCTCATAGTTGCTTTCCCTTTCGAAATCCCAGGATGTGCATTTGTAATCTCGAAAAGAGGATAAATCTTCATCGTAATGAATAACACTACAGGTCAGCAGGGATGTGGAATTTGGTCGGAAATCTTCAGGCTTAGAACAACTGAAAATTAAATTATAAAGAATTTTTAAAATAAATAAAGTTTATTCGTTGAGACTTTACTTGTTTTGAAGAAGCAATAAAATGATTAACTAGTAGCTTATGTGACGAATCTCGACTGTTGTTTATTTTTTAAAGCAACACGTGTTTTAATGTGGGAGATTCTTGCTCACCTGTGTGATGGCGTGAAACTAATCAGTGTCTGTGAAAAGTAGTGCAGCGAGGACACTATATTTGTATAGCCATAGAGTCCCAGTAGCAGGATCTGGTATGGACCAAAGTTTCCACATTTCTCCAGGACACGCTGGAGATCCATTTTGCCACAAGAAACTGCCTTGATCGCAGAAAGCCGACTGATGTCGACGAAGGGCTGTTGCTGTTAGTATATACGCTCTTCTGGCCGCTGGCTTTATAAGGGTAATTCTTGGCAAGCTCATAATATATATCTTCAGCTAGTTTATCTCACTTTGGGGGCGTGAGGAAGAAAGCTCTTCAACCATTTCCGACGTCTGGCTTCTGTTTGGCGTGTGGAGAGTTTCGTTTGGATCCCAAGGGGAGATTATTAAGGTGACGCCCGCAAAAGCATAAGTATGACCTGACTTATCTTCTTTGAATTTTAGTGGCCCCGTAAACTGAAGCTGTCTGGCAAATAGACACAAGTAAAACTGTCCAAACAATGTCTCGTTAGTATTACAAAGATTTTCATCACAATGCTAAGTAAATGTCTGAATATTTTAATTACAATGACTGCTTTCTGTAAATTAAACAATATATTATGGTGCAACATAATATCATCAGACAGGTGTCATATATTAGTTCTTCGCAAAGAAACAAGAGATATGTTTGTTTAAACAAATTTCTCAGCAGGGGCAAGGTTTAAAGGAAGTTTTCATATCTTTATCTTTAGATTAAAATCCATTTTACTTATTTGTAGCTTTAGGACTAGAAACTTCGATGAAATTTCGTTAAATTACAGCTAACACAGAAAATCCAAGTACTAGAAATGCAATTAGAAAGGATGAAATCGGAAATTTTTTCTAAAGAATTTAATCAGTAATTCATGCTATGCCCATAATGCTACTATTACCCATAAAAATTAAGAGGACAGTAGATAAGACAGTATTTGTGTTCTTTTATTTTATTTGAATAGTCATTAAAGTATTAATACATTTATCAAATTGAGTTTGTAATTTCCCTGAATGACTCTACTTGGGATGCAGTATGTATTAATACCTAAGAATTTCTAAGAAACAAAAGCATATATAATATGAACTCAAGGAAGATTATATTTCCCAATGGTACTCTGTATTAAGGCAATGAAAAGAATAATATGAAATAATTTTTAGTGTTTTATGGTTCGGTGTGTAGCTAAGAGCCTCGAACCATAGACTTTATTTTTAAAAAATATATTTCTAATAGGTAAAGTTAAAACAATTCAAATCCAAGACTGTTAACTGCCAGTGTTATCTCAGCTTGGGATTAAAAGAAAAGTCAGAGCTAATAAATACCCTTCAAACAAAACTTATAAACAATTTTCTAATAATATCTGCGATTTATATCCCTTTAACTTTTAGCCATAAAAATTAAGATACCAGCCAGCTTGTTTTTATATTATATTATTTGTATTTTTCTTTAAAAACAACGAAAACAAACATAAATAAACTTTTATTCAATATAGTTTGTAGTGTCGTTGGCTGATTCCAACTGAGATTCAGGCTTAATCGTTTTCTGTCTTCGCGAAAAGCAGGGGAAGAAGTACCATTTCTCCCCCTTGGCAAATACCTCGCCCTCCTCCAGAGTTTGTGGGAGTTGTCTGCAAAAGATTTTTTGTTTATTATTTAATCTAAGGGATATTAAATACGTTAAGACATACTTATGCAAAGTTTCTGGAAGGGCCAGACATAAACAGCCGTCAATCAAGAGAACAAAGCTAATAAAAAGCGAAGGCAGTGGCTTGTAGAAAGTAAGCAAAGGCATTGCCGACCAAATGGATGTTGGCTACTCCTCTTCCCCGAACACTTGTTGATATAATCTCTGCTGCATACTGACACTTGGAATCGTATGACACTACCGTGCCGTATCTTCCAAGGCTTACCACGATTCCCAATAGGACAGAGTAATCAGGCTAGTTTCACTACCTTTGGACCATTTCCGACGTCTGGTGTGTGGAGAGTTTCGTTGGTATACCATGGGAAGATTATTAATGTGACGCCCGCAAAATCATAAGTATGGCCTGACTTATCCTCATTATATTTTTGTGGCGCTGTAAACTGAAGCTGTCTGGCAAATAGACACAAGTAAATCTCTCCAAACAATGTCTCGTTAGTTGATAGATTAGATTTTCATCACAAGGTATTCAATGCTAAATAAATGTTTGAATATTTTAATTACAATGATTGCTTTCAATAAATTGTACTATTTATTATGGTACATCATAATATAAGCCAAGGTTTAAATAAAGTTTTCCTTTCTTTTTATTTAGATTAAATGACATTAAGACAGTTTCCTCAGTTATAGCTATAGTCCTGGGAACTACGATTAGATTTCGTTAAGTTACAGCTAACACAAATAACTTAAGTCTGGCACTTAAAAAATCTGAGTACTAGAAATGCAATCAGGAGGTGATGAAATCGGAAATGTTTTTCAAAATATTTTCATTCTACTGCTACTGTTTTGATATCATTAGTATTCTTTTGTTTGAACAGTCATTATAGTTGTAATACATTTATTATGATGAGTTTGTAATTTCCTTTAATGACTCTGTATAGGATGCTGATTTATTGGTTTGCTGTCTGGGCGAAAAGGAGGGGAAAATACCTTAACAACTAATTTTCTAATAAACAAAAGAATGTATAATGTGAACTTAAGGGGAATGTTATTTAACAATGGCTACCCGTATTCAGTCAAAGAAAAGGGAAACCCTTTTAGAACAATATAACATTTTTTAAGTGTTTATAGCTGGGTGTGCAGATAAGACTCGCGGTCATCAAAGTTATCTCTAAAAACCATATTTCAAACATGAGATATTGCAATTTAAGCAATTAAAATCGATGTCAATTAAGTGCCACCAGAAATGTTCTTTTAAAAATTTCGATTTCAGAACGAAAAATTCCATCAAAAATATTTTGCCAAACAAATTCGCGAGTAATTCCGGCGATTTATCTCCTTTTCACAGCTAACCATAAAAAATAAGATACCAGCAAACGTGTTTTGATATTGTTTATATTTATCTTTATTAATAGTTAATGCTTTTACTATAAATCTAATACATTTATTATATTTTCTTTGTTGCTTCGTTAGCAGACTCCAACTGAGATGCTGATTTAATTGTTTCCTGCCTCCGCGAAAAGCAGGGAAAAAAGTACCATTTCTCCCCCTTGGCAAATACCTCGCCCTCCTCCAGAGTTTGTGGGAGTTGTCTGCAAAAAATTTTTTGTTTATTATTTAATCTAAGGGATATTAAATACCTTAAGACATACTTATGCAAAGTTTCTGGAAGGGCCAGACATAAACAGCCGCCAATCAAGAGAACAAAGCTAATCAAAAGCGAAGGCAGTGGCCTGTAGAATGTTCCCAAGTAGATAACGTATGAGCTGAAAAAGGCGAAGGCGTTGCCTATCACGTGGATGTTGGCTACTCCTCTTCCCCGAACACTTGTTGGTATAATCTCTGCTGCGTACTGGGCCTCAGCATCGTAAGCCACCACCGCTCCGTATCTTCCAAGGCTCACCATGAATCCCAAGAGGACAGAGTAATCTGCGGAATCCAGAGTGGCCACCAAGTATCCAGTGGCTGCCGTAATAATGGCTCCAACAAAAAGTGAGGCGCAGGCCATGCCCTTTCGTCCGATCTTGTTCTGGAATAAGATTATTGTAAGGCCGGCAGGTAGGTAGCAGAATCCGGAGTAAGAAAAAAGTTTAAAAGGTGATATTCCCACACCTTCCACATTGCGACTTAGGATATCAAAAGTTATGGTAACGATCATTCTAAGAAATGGTTGAATAAGAGTTAAAAACAGGAAAAATGTATTTTCCATTAATGAACTTACGATTTTATCAATAGTATTATTGTAAACTTTCTCATTCTTGGAGTCCTTAGCATGCCCATAAAGGTGTCTGTGGATTTATTCTGAGAATTGCTTAGCTTTTCGCGGTAATGTTTTACGAACTCCTCGAAAACAGAGTCACCCACTTGACGACCATTGAATTTGGCAACACTTTTTAAATTGTTAACTGCCTTGTCAAATTTTCCTTTTGTCAACAACCACTCCACGCTTTCGTGGAGACAAACGGGGAACAGGAGCATTCCCAAGGCAGGAAGAGATGCCGCCCATAGGTAACTGCGCCAGTTGCCCAGCCAAATTGCTATCCAAGGGGATATCATTAGACCAAAGCAATAAAAGACTCCCAGAATGATGTTTAGACCAAAGGTGCGATGCTGTGGACTCAAGTACTCGAAAACTGCAAGGTTAGAAAAAATCTATATAATATATAACGTATTCCAGGATAATAGACACACCTAAAATGTACATCAGAACATATTGGGTATCCATCGAGAGACCGGATATGAAGCGTGTGAAGGAGAACCAAGGCAGACCTCCCACGAAGGAGGTGAAGAAATCTCCAGAGGCTCCTGTCAAAGTTGACAAAACGCAGGCAGGCAGCCTTCCAATCCGGTCGGCTAAATAGCCGAAGAATATACTGCCTAGGGCTGATCCAATAAAGAAGAAGGATTGACCTACTGCCAGTTTAAATGCATCATCACAGACCCACTCGAGCTGTATTCAATATTCGGAACGGGAGTGTTAAGTCGTTAAAGCGCTGTATACTTTTAGGCTGAAAAATACCTCTGTGGTTACACTCTCGTAATCGCTTTCTTTTTCGAAATCCCAGGAGGTGCACTTGTAATCCCGAAAAGAGGACTGATCTTTATCGTAATGGATAACACTACAGGTAAGCAGAGATGTATAATTCGGCTTGATGTCATCTATCGGTGGGGAACATCTGTAATATTAAAATATGGACATATTAGCACATTTAGTTAATTGCTAATTTAGCTTAATAATTGAATAGTTTTCAAATGACGTTCCAATTAAGTAAGCTGGCTTAACATGTGCTTAACATCCTTGATAAGCTTGTTCATCTTGGTCGCCATTAATTTAATTCTTAGCTTGGTTTGGTTTTAATTAAATTACATTTCAACCTTTTTGATCCATTTGAAGGGTCATTTTCTCACTCACCTGTGCGAAGGTGTAAAACTAATGATTGTCTGGGAAAAGTAATGAAGCGAAGACACTATATTTGTGTATCCAAAGAGGGCAAGCAGCAGAATTTGATATGGGCCAAAGTTTCCACATTTCTCCAGGACACTTTGGAGATCCATTTCAATACTTGAAACTGCACCGAACGCCAATTAGAAACTGATGTCGACCATGTCGTCTAAGCAACTGGTATCTTCCCGATTAGGGATGCTGGCTATAATGCGCTAATACACTGCAAATACCGAGTATCTGCTGCTAGTTTATCTCGCACGGGGGCATTAGAAAGAAAGAAAGAAAGCGTTTGAACAATTACCGACGTCTGGCTTCTGTGCGATTTTTTATTAATGTGACGCCCGCAGAAACATAACAAAGCGTTGGCTTATCTTTATGGGAGTTTTACAATTTAAACAAACACAAAGTTTCTTGCAAACAGAAACAAGAAGACACGATTAAACAAAGTCCCGTCGGTATTACAAAGATTTACAGAGTAAAACTTTCAATTAGAATTGTTGCTACTGTGTTCTTAGATATTAAGTTGTAAGAATTTCAATATTTATTTATTTATCATAAACTAATCTTTGAATTATTCCCAAGTCTTTGATACCGCTTAAATCATTTAATATTTGGTGGGCTGTACATAATAATACAGCTGTAGTGATAATAACCAACCGATTTCTATGGTTTAATATATTCCTAATATTAGTCTAAAATATAATCCTAGTAGTTCATCAAAAATAAACGTCTGATTCCGTTGATTGCGAGTACATCTTGACGTTTTGGGTGTCCAGAGTGGCGGCTGACTGAGTTCGTTTCTCCAAGAAACTAAAGGTGAACCACCGATCGTTCTTACCGAAATTTTCTCCATCCTCCAGAGAAGTAGGCAAAGTGCGATTAAGGGTTTCTGGGAGCAGGAGACAAAGACACGCCCCTAGCAAGGACAGTACGCCAAGTATAATCTCGGGAAGCGGTGAGAAAATGCTTCTCGTATATAGTATGTAGGCACTGAAGAAGGTGAAGGCATAACCGGCCACATGGACAGCAGCCACTCCTTGACCCCGAACGCAGGTGGGGATCAGCTCGGTGGCATATTGAGCTCCGGAATTGTAGGCCACTGTTACTCCAAAGCGGCCCACTACGGAGAGGCTGACAAGTAAAGTTGTGGCTGCAGGAAAAAGTTTTGGATTTGCGTTAAAAACGGATCTTAGTTTTTATTTAATTATTTTCAAAATACTATCAGATCAGGAATTCGGTTAGATTCATGAAATTAAATGAAAATTAAACGAATTAATTTAAAATAGTTGTTATAATAAGAGTGTAAAGTAAGTGTTTTAAGTACCCCCACCCTACTCGGGATGTATGAGTATGTATACTCAGTTCTGTAGGTCGTAAATCTCCCTTTCAAAACCAACCATTAAATTCCCATAAGTCAACTGTAAATATACCCCCCAGCTGATCGTTTTGAACTCACTCTTATCCGATGCAGAGGCGGCGAAAATGATGCCTCCGGTGACCGAGATGAAAATGCCACTGAGCAGCAGAGAGGCGGACGCCATCGCTTTGCGACCGATGCGATCTTGCAGGGCGATGATCAGGAGGCAGGCCGGCAAAATTGCGGTGGCGCTCAGCGAGAACATCACAAATGGCGAAATGCCAAGGCCCTGAACATTTCGAGATACCGCATCGTAACAGAGGGTGATGACCATGCTGCGCGTGGGTGATGGAAATTAACAGATTTTATCTCAAAACCAAATCATCAGGTACTCACGACTTGAAGAAGAGGATGAGGGTGTTGCGGCGCAGACGTGGTGTCTTGAACAGGTGAAAGAGATGTGGAGAGGCCTTCTGGTTTTGCTGGCTGAACCTGCACTCTTCGATGAACTCCTCGAAAGCGCTCTCCTCAACCTGCCGACCATTTATCTTGGCCACTCTTTTCAGGCAGATGACGGCCCTTTCGTAGTTCTGCTTGGAAATCAGCCACTGAATGCTTTCTGGTACGATGAAGTAGAAAAGCGGGACGACAAGCAGTGGCAGCGAGGTAGCCAAAAGGAATCCCCGCCAACTGCCCATGAGTACTGCGATCCAAGGAGCTGCCATGGAGCCCAGACAGTAGAACAATCCAATGCAGATACTCAGGCCGAGGGTGCGCACTGAAGGGCGCATGTACTCCATAACTGCAGAATGATTTGATATAGAGTTCTCAATATTTTCTTAATAGCCTCAAGCTTACCCAAAATGTACATCATCACAAAGTTGCTATCCGTCGCAATGCCGGAAATCATACGGAAAATACAAAACAGCGTCACATTAGTACTCCATATGGTCAACAAATTGCCAGTCATTGCAATCAGATTCGAAACGATCAGAATGGGAAGTCGTCCAACTATGTCCGCAAAATAACCCAGTACCATAGAGCCCACCACAGACCCCACAAAGAACATGGACTGACCGAGAGTGAGCTTCCAGGCATCCGAGCACACCCAATCCATTTCGCTGGGAAAGCTCTGGTAGCCCATGTAAAGCTCGTAGTCATAGCCGTTGCAGGTATTTGTACTACTATTATTCCAGTTCAGTGGTAGGCAACTTGACTCATTCGGCGGCTCAATATTGGCGGGTAAGCCATCTGCACACCTGGGTGTATAAACAATGCGTTAAGTATACGACCGGTGGACAGGAAATATATAAACACTCACCAGTATTTTGGGACAAAGCTGATGATCGTTTGGGAATAGTAGTGAAGGGCTGATAGAACATTGATCAAACAAAAGAGCAGCAGCATTATCAGCTGAAGTCGGCTGAAGTCGCCACATTTCTCCAGAATCTTGTCCACCTCCAGCATTATGAGTCTAGAGTAAGATTCTATCCGGGAACCGAGAAGAGCTTGTCTTCCACGACAAGACCTTTTTACTCATCTTAGCTCTGGCATCTGGGCCTCACTTAATTGATGCGTTGGATTTCTCTTAATTTTCAACTTCCGATTAGTGCAGTAAGTAATTCTTGCCAGACTGACATCAACAATAATTCGTGTAGATTATGTTTGACAGCAGCGGACTTTCGTCAGATGTTGTATAATTTTAAGGGGGAACACTCAGCTATAAAAATAAAAAAAATCTCTAATATAGCACTAAAAAACGCTTTATTCTAAAAGCTAATTCATTCTTTAAAAAAGTAACGACTTTAAATAATTCTTTATAAAACCAGATCGACTTTAATTTTATATTAAATAAAAACAAAGCTGTGTCTGTTTCACTGTTAAATATTTTTTTAGAAATATTTTTTGAGTCCACGTGTGGTCATTAAGTTTTGACTTGCTTCATTTGCTATCAGTCAAGTGTTCAAATATTCCTCGAAAAATCCGCGATAAGAAACAGACGTGTGGCTGCATCCAGAAAAACCATCCGCATTGAACTTTGTATAGTCACTGACCGGGAATTGCAAATCTCATCCGAAATTGCGATGTCAACCGCACGGAACGAAAGTAACGTTTGATGTGATGCTTTCGACTTGCCTACATTCGTTTTTCGTAGAACGAAATTGCCAAATACACGAAAGAAATCTGAATGAAAGCTATCAACCCGAGCATACTCATTACTCAAGGTTTTTTGAAAAAATTAAATACAGATTTGTGAAGGTATTACAAAATGTAATTTTTATAATATATTTTTATATCTTGTATACACTATGATTTTCTATATAGAATAATAGAATATATTTTTTTGTCATAAGCGATAGTTTAGTTTACATAGATGGATTTCATTTAAAATTTCTACCTCTCTTTATTTAAAGAAATTGCGCCCAGGGTACGATCAAAATTTTAGGCCTTTGTTATTGCTGACTACTATAATGAGGAGACAAGTATAGATTTTTCAGGCCGGTAATTGCAAACATGCAAGGCTGTCTATTTACAGTTATTACAGCCACGATTTATTTTGTGACGTCAGAACAGGCCTAGCTATTTGCGAGCATTTAGTCTATATTTCGAATATGTTATTTAACAAATAAAGGGCTTCGATTTGTTAGTCGAGTTATAGTTCACTTATCATTCGTATAGCTGTTGATTCACTAACTTATTATCTTGCTAACATTTGAAATCGCATGTAAAATGATCGTTGTAAAATGATCGTTTCGAAATAACAAACCTTAGGCCTATTATAATGACTATTCCGTTGAAAGTCATACTCTTGAGCAAACTAACTCGCTTCCTAACTGAATAATATGAATAAATGAAATTTTCGAGCATATATTTAATCAGTCTTTGGTCAGGTTACTTTATGTAATGACAATGTGCCATGTGTAAATCCCTGTTTTAGTTACTAATATTCACTTTAATCAGCCTTCCAGTTCGAATTATACACTTTCGTCATTTTTATCATCTACTTTTTTGTGAAAGCAGGGAAAGTAAAGGAAGCTCTCGTTCTGGGCAAACTTTTCCCCATCCGCCAGAGTTTCTGGTAGTTTCCTGATAAAAATTATAAACATAAATAGTTAGTGAAAAGTTCTTAATAACAGAAACATACTTGTTTAAGGTCTCCGGCAAAGAAAGACAAAGTCCGGCGCCGAAGAACATCAGGCAGCTGATGAAAATTGAGGGGAGGGGCTTGTAGTACTGGGCCAGGTAGATCACATAGAAGGCCAATGAGCTGGAGGCCAATCCCACCACATGGATGTTGGACACCGCCTGACCTCGCACACTGGTTGGTATGATTTCCGCCGCGTATTGAATCTCCGCATCATAGGAAACAGTGGCTCCAAAACGACCTAGACCAACCATGATAGCCAACAGCACGGCGTTTTCTGTAGGATTCAGGTGAGCAATCAGGAAACCTGTCGTCGTAGTGATAAGTCCGCCACAAAAGAGAGCCGCACAGGCCATTCCCTTGCGACCAATCTTGTTTTGCAGAAGGAGGATGGCCACACCTGCGGGTAGGTACACAACCGAGGTGAAGGAGAACAGCTTGAAGGGCGAAGTGCCCAGGCCCTCCATATTGCGGTTGATCACATCGCAGGAGAGGGTTATGATGACTCTATAAGGTAATAAGATTACAAAGTTTTTACTACTTTAAAAATTTGGAAAACTTACGACTTGAGTAGCAATGTTAAGGTGAATCGACGAAGTCGAGGGGTCATAAACATCCCAAGGAATGTGTCCTCTTGACCTTTAATCTTTTTCTCCTGTTGGGTCCTCTCGTTATAGTACTTTACAAACTCGTCGAATACAGAGTCCTCTACCTGTCGACCATTGAACTTTGCAACCTTCTTCAGACAGGTCACTGCCTTTTCGTATTTCTTCTTGGTCAGCAACCACTGAGCACTTTCACAGATCAGGAGAGGATATATAAGGACACCCAAGGCTGGAAGAGATGCCAACCAGAGGTAACGACGCCAATTACCAATCCAAATGGCGGCCCAGGGCGATATCATTAGTCCAAAACAGTAGAAGATGGCCAAGATGATGTTGAGGCCAAAGGTTCGACTTTTCGGGCTCAGGTACTCAAAGACTAAGATGTACATGAGATAGTACATGGTATCCGTGGATAATCCCGATAAAAATCTCGATACGGCGAACCAGGGCAGAGTATACACAAAGGATGTTAAAAAGTCTCCCGTGGCTCCACACAAGGTGGCCATCAGCAGAGATGGCAGACGACCTATTTGGTCCGAGAGATAGCCAAAGGTAATGGTGCCCACTACTGATCCCATGAAGAAGAAGGATTGACCTACTGCTGGATGATGGGATTTGTCACAGACCCATTTCAGCTAAAGCAAGAAAAAATTTGAGTATAATAATTACAAAGTAAGAGGCTTTAGTTTGGTACCTCTGTGGTAATGCTTTCATAGCCACTCTCCCTTATGAAGATCCAATCCTTACAAATCAGTCCCTCGGCTGCTACGCCTTTGCCATTAATCACTCCCAGAAGTGGTGTGCAGGATGAGGCGCTAATATTTGAGTAAACAGAGTGAATCTCCTTCTCACTGAGACCCTTGAGGTCAGAATGGGAGCACCTTAAAAAAGGTAAGTGATTTTTTTTTAAGCTTTTCAAAGTGTTTTGCTCTTACCAATGCTCTGGAGTAAAAGTGATGAGGGTTTGGGAGAAGTAGTGCAGCGATCCTAGAATATTTGTGTAGCCATAAAGTAAGAGGATGGCTACTTGGAACCTTCCGTAGTTTCCGCACTTATCCAGAACCTGGCTAAAATCCATCAGGCTGCTTTCTTTAGAGTAGGAACTTTGTTTAAGCGACTAGCTTTAGCAAACTCTCTTGGGGAACTGACCAGAAGCTTTAATCAACTATAGTAGAAATAGCAATGAATTTCTCTTTGGCTGATTTAAACAACAGTTTCGTCGAGGGTAAAACAGCTGGATGGGCTTTCGGAGTCGAGAATATATATTGCCGAATGTTTTGCCAACTGTGAGCCCTGTAACTATCTCTATGAGATGGCACAGCCATCGTTGAGTTGTTTAGTCATAACTTAAGATATGTCATTAAAATGCACTAAATGTTCTTTTTTTTTTCAATTTCCATCAATTAGTGGTTGGATTTCATTGCAACTACGTTGTATTAGCCTGACATTCTGGTTGATCAATTGCTTTGATCTTCTGGCTAAAAATAGTTAAAACAGATGACATCCATCGACTGGCATGGTAGTTGGCACGACTTTGATTCTTTGTTATAGTTAGTTGTCGCATAAACGACTCGATGGTAACAACAACGGTAAAACAATGCATGCAGCTGTCAATGGTTTTCCAGATGCCAGATACAAATTTGCAGCCATAAATTAAGCACACAAAACGGTAAAACATAGGAATTGGCGCAGACACTTGGCTGTGAGAAGCTGGGAAGTGTATTCTTTTGGGCAGCTTAATGGTTTGTAAATATTAATTATATGTATTGGGAAATAAATATTTTAAATAATATAGATTTATATCAATAATATACAAGAATTGTTATCATCAACGCCAAACAACGAGGTCATCGTGCAATCTATAAAATATCTATAAATTTCTATCCTAATAAAGTCTAAGTTTAAGACTAACTAAATAATCTATTTGTAACCTAAGGACTAGCTAAAAAGATGATTATATAGTCGTCGGGCATCTCTTTGAAGGGTATCATTAATGACATTATTTGCTTAGACTGTAAGTGCCTTTTTTTTGGCCTGGTCTGTGAGCCAGACTAATGTGCCGACAGCGGCGCGTTGACCTTTCGCTTTATTAGGCGACTGTGGCTGGTTGGCTGCCCCTGTTCTCGCCCCTCCTTCAGTAAGCCACTGGCTTTGGGCCCGATCCAGGCACTCTTAATTCAATTGTGGACCGCCTGACCTTTTGCGCATGCGCAGCACAGCAACTGCCATTTCATATGGAACCGCCGTTTTGGTGCAGCTTGTTCTTCTCAGCTAATTACGCGGCGACTCCGACTCCAAATCCGAATGCAACAGGTCCTAACATCCAGCCGATGTTAATTTAACATTTCAATTGTGTGCGGCCAAATAAATTTTCACATAATTGCCAAAAAGTCGGTGTCCAAGTGAGGATCGAAATAGCGAATTCGAAAAAACGAATCGTAAACGCCGCTAAAAAGTGAAAGGGCAAAGCTCTCGGGCTGACTCTGGGTCTGGGGTCCCTTTAAATGGTTTAGCGGAAGAATAACCTTTCTAAGTCGACACGATAACTGCGCCAAAGTTGAAGCCAGGCACACGATTTGCCGCCAGGTGGGCAAGAGTCAATCCCCGACCCCGTTACTCTATCACAATACTTGCCAGCGCCATGTGCTTGATCGCTGGCCCAAGCCGAAGACATCGTCTGGGTCCGGGTCTCTCTTGATCTGAAATTAGTTTATTGCCTCGACTGCGCCATGTGAAGCAGGCGACATTTGCCGCCGTTTGGCAGTATAAATGGCCAGAACTCCCAGCCGAAGCTTGCAGTTTTGGTTACTTCTTTTAGCGCGATCGTCGTCGAATTCATCGAACGTTACTCCGGCCACTCTTTAAGTGGTGTCTAGTGAGTCTGTGACAACTGTGAGCGAGTGGAAAGGATACACGTGCAAGGACATCGTTATGCTTAAGGTGTGAAATTGAAAAGATTGACTATAAAAGGCAATCAATTAAGTGTTTTTTTTTTCAAAAGAAATTGCGTTGTTGACCGCAGAACACAATCATAAGAACATTTTAAAGATTCGAGAAATTTTAAACTTAACCGTTAAGTAACTTAGGCAAAGACAAAGTTGGAATCTACATAAGGATTTTCTTAAATACTTTTTAACAGTTTTCCAAGCCATTTTTCATAAAAACCATTGTTATATTAAATTGCCCTCATGTTAAACTTGCCCTAACTTAGTTTAACTATTATTCAAAAGTTTTATTATATCATGCTAATGAGTTGCTCATTTCAGATTTCCCTGCTGAGCGCCGTGCTCGGCATTGCCTATGCAGGCGTGATCGGACCCGGACCGTATTATGGTGGACCAGCAGGGCCCGGACCTCTGCATCATTATGGAGGATATGCACCGCCGAATGGCCCACTGCCCGGCCCTTATGTGGCACCCAAGCCCGTCGCTCCCGAACCATACGATCCCGAGCCAAAGTACTCATTTGGATATGACATTCAAGATGGTTATACTGGTGATCTGAAGTCTCAGCATGAGACTCGTCACGGAGATGTGGTGAAGGGCAGCTACTCGGTGGTGGATCCAGACGGAACCAAACGCACTGTGGACTACACGGCAGATCCTCACCATGGATTTAATGCGGTGGTTCGCAAGGAGCCGCTGGCATATAAGGCACCAGCCCACGTGGCACCTGTCATCGCCCCTGCACCCGCTCCAGTGCCTGCTCACTATGCTGGTCCTGCTCCTGCTCCACCACTTCCTCCGGTGCCCAAAGCACCTCTTCTTTCCTATCCACTGGCCTTGGGTCCTCTTCACCGTGCTGCTCCTGTTCCCGGACCCGCTCCAGCACCTGCTCCAGCTCCAGTGCCTGTGCCAGTGGCTGCTCCAGTCTTGCCTACAGCCCACTTCCATGCCGCCTATCCCGCCCTGGCCCACAGCCCCTATGCCCACTATCCAGCACCTGTGCCCGGACCCGCTCCCGTGGATCCCCATGCCTACTATCACCACTGAGAGGAACCGATGTTCCCAACTATCTGATCTGATCTGATTTGATTTGACTTCATCTATCGCACGCAGCTTACACTGACCCAAAACTGAATCTCCGGCTATATCTGTGCCAATCGCTGTACTCTCAATCTCTTTTGCTGTGTTCTTCGAGGGATTTGATACCGATCCAACATGTAGATTGATTTTAAGATACACCTAGCCTATGTACATGTCTTAAGAATATGTTGTTGAATGGTTAGTCTAGGCAATAAACTGAGAAATGAACTTTATAGTTTTATTTTTAATCTCTCAAAAAGGGAATCTTCTTTGACTGGTGAGATACCATGCAAAAAAATAAAGGAAACGCATCTTTTAACGCAATTGATGTTTGTTTTTATTTATTGTATCAACTTTTCGCAATGGTTCATATATGTATATGTTATATGATATCGTATGTGGCATATCTCATATGTATAATTATTCTGATTATGTATAAATATATGTACGTGTGTTGTATATAAACGTTTCGAGTATGTCACCATATGTTATAAATAAGTTTAGTTCAATGCATAATGTGTCATTTATGGATGTATTATGTATATTAAGTTCTATGACCTACCATTCGTAGAACAGATTGAAATGTGTTCGATATCGTTATATACTCGTATGTATATGATTTATGTACTTCATTCGACTTCACTTCAAAAGTTCCTTCATTCAAATGCTGAATGCATTTTGGTCTCGCTGCACTCGATTAGGTATACAATTTAAATACGATTATAGTCCTTAGTTTTGTAATAAACGGTATCAAAAGATAGGTACAATTGAGTCATGCCTGCTACCACTAAATTAATTTCGAAGCTTCTATTCCAACACAAACGATTAGTTAGCTAGCCAAGCTCGGGGCTTCTCTGTCTATCTTTATACGTCTGATTGGTTGATTTGATGTGTGTCTGTATGTGTGTTTAGTTACGATTAAACTAAGGGCTTTTAGGCTGGATATACCATACAAAGTGCTGTGCTCTAGAGGCCTTTACAGTTGGACACAATTTAGCTAAGTAAATCTGCTTAGAATAAGATTACTAATATACGGTGTACATACGATAAATAAGCGGCTAATATAGCTCACAATATTCCTTGACAAGTGTGTATAATATTTTATTTCATAATTTCTTCGTTGATTGTTTGGCTTCGTCTCGGATCTCTCCGACCGATATCCTCATCGGCATAAATCTATTGTAGACAACCACTGGATGATGAAGACTATTTCGGGATATGCTTGAATTGCGTTGCTTGATATCAGTTGTCAGTATAAAATTTGGGGACAAACAAATGGCAGCTTTGGCTATTCTCAACTCAGATCTCAGTTTCATAGAATTGATGATTTTAAATTCGTCCTCGTCTAATGACCTATATCAGTTATATATCTATATATATATATAGATGTTTTTAATGGGATATGTTTCACTAATGATTAGATAGTTGATTTAAGCATTTCTTGTTTCGGTTTTGGTTCATTTGTTTATAACTTGAAACGGAGGGTTTTCATTTATTAAACATGATTGGTTATTGGTAGGACATCTTTTCCACACATCGATTCGGTTTGGATTGGTACGGTTATTGGTTAGAAAAATACTCATAGTTGGGACATTTCACTACATAGAAGTGTTTGAATATTTTGCTAACTGCATTTTCTTGATAAGCTATATCTCTTTATATAATTCATTCTATATTTATAGTCGTTTTGTGTCATTTACTAAGTGCCTGGAAATTCTAGTGACGAGTGAGAGACTAGTTAAGTTAAACCAAATAGATAGATGAGAAACTTAAATGATAACAGTTCCCAAAAAGTGTTTCCATATTGTCCTTATTTTCGTTCCTAATTTTTTGTTTGTAAAATTTCTTTAACTAAAGGTGGAAGTTTCAAGGGAAATAAACTAAAGTGTTTCGTATCAATATATAGCTAGTGTTTCTGATATATCTATAAATATTTATCGATCTGTGGCATATCTAGGTTAAAACTTTACTCTCTTTCGGTTATATCATTTGCTTATATTGATGTGAGTATTGTACGATATTGGGTATCAAGTTGTAGACATCTAAATTTATCGATTCGATTAGTTCTTTGTGGTAATTAGGTATTTTTAAAGCAGTTTTCAATATCATTTGATTCGTAAGTATATCTGAGTTATCCAAGTGTAATTTGACTAGTTTCATTGGAATGATGTGGATTATCTAATTTATTTGATGGTTCTGGTAGTAGATAAGATTCGATTCGATTCGATTAAGTAGATAGAAAAAGGTGGTCCATTTAGTGATCGTATTCGTCAGCATATGATTAGGTTTAAGAAGATATTGTTGTCTACAAACCAAAAACATAAAAACCAAAAAGTCAATGATTTTCAATAATAGTTCTTTAATTAAAAACATTGCAGCACACTTTCAGTTAGCACAGATATTAATATTAAATAATATTAAGAAATAATACACAAGAACTCGGAATAAATAAGGATACAAATTAAAACTGATTGCTTGTTTCGACATTTACATTTAAAACGCTTATTGTATAAGCTTCAAAATGATATGATAGCTAATTCAAATACATTTTCGCATTAGCTGGTATTTTTTGTATCTTTCAAATTAGTTTGTCTTCCTATCAGTTTTTTGTTTTTTGAAAAAGGTGCGAGTTATAACAATTTTGCATGTACTAGCAAATTATGATTATGTTTCAATTATGATATAGTTGTTTGCTTTTTATTATATCGTAGGTATGTTTGTGTGGGAGTTAGAGCTTATCTAATCTTTAAATCATTTCTGCATTATTTCCAGCTTTCAATATGTTGTTTCACTTACTTATGCTTCGATATTTGTATATAATATATATAGATTTGTATCTTTCATAACTACTAAAAAAGTGTTCTCAGCTTACTTCAAGCTCTTCTAGAAATTCTCCTTCATCTTCTTCTCTCTTCGTATGCAATAATGTATAAATATATGTACCACAATAGCTATATGGATCTATCTTTAGGTGTTTAGGTATGATTATTTAGAATAATTTGCAGGCCAGCCAATTGGATTTCCTCGCTTGCAGTTAATTCTTTTGGATTCTTATACTGTTTATTTTTTGTTTGCTTTATAGTTTAATGCCTTGCAGTTAAGTATCGAAGGTGTTATTTTTGTAGTTCCACGCAGGTTTTCTCCGTGGTTGCCGTGGTCGTCGTCGTCGTTGTTGTGTTCGTAGTGTTGCTGCTCGACGTCTCATCTAAGTCGTCGTTGATGCTCTCCAATTCCTGCTCGGTAATGGCGGTCACCAGGCCACTAGAGTTTTCTGTGGAAAATAGAAATGAAATCCCGATTAGAAATCTCGTTTACCAACATTCTTTCTGATTTCCTGAAATGGTGAAGTGACAACATAAATCGTTGCATTACCGCTTTAATCCAATACATTCTAGGCAAGATCTGCTGGTCAGGAGCAGTGGAAAAAGAGCAGAGCAAGAGAAATAATCGAGATTAGTATTTGTAGAGGGTATAAAGACCAAGGAAACAACATCAAACACAAACAACACAAGAGATTCGAAAATGAAATTAAAATCCAGCGCCAGAAAGTAGGCACCCCAAATGAAACACAAACTCAACAGAGGTGGTAGTAAAATTGAGCAAGCTACGAAAGGTGACAGTGACTGCCATCAATTTCCGCACCATTCAAGTGCTGCTGATGCTGATGCTGTTGATGTTGCTGCTGCATGAGGCTGGAGTGCGGGGGTGGCGGTGGACGTCCATCGTCCCCCAGATATCCGCCCGATGTCTGCATGCCGCCGGAAATGTCCATTCCGCCATTGCCTGTCATCAGACTCCTTTGCTGCTGTGGATGTTGCTGCTGCAACTGCTGCTGTTGCTGTTGCTGCTGTTGATGCAACGCGTTCAGGGCTCCGCTGAGCTGGTGCTGATGATGCTTCGCCGCCAAACTGGCCAGCTGGGCATGCTGCTGCTGCATCTCACTGTTCATACCCGGCAGCATAATTCCCTCTGCGAGTGTGTGTTTGCGGTTTCAGTTTCGATGAAGTGTATGGGTGTTTATTGGTGGAAGTGGGTGTACAGAGTGGTGTACATTAGAGCGGGTGAGTGGGGTGAGTGGGTGGGGTTTGAGCAAAACAGACAAGAACAGCACACAATTAGAGGTTAATTGGCAGGAGAGCCCCTTTGTTAATGTTAGTGGGCGAGGTTGTCACTCTCTGTTAGCCTAAACCCTAAACTTTGGGGAAGTTCCTGATCACTATCCTTCAGTTTGCACGTTGGTTATGTACTATGTTTAGTATGTACGTCTATTTTACATTATATAAAGCTTTTCAACTAAGAACTAGAAGTGTTTTCAAGGAACAGTATATTAGTTTCCCATTTCAAAATGTTCTAACCTAACAATGCATTTGAAATGTAACTTAGACTTAATAATTATAATAAAATAAGTTAGTCTTCTTTTTCAAAATGAACGAATCCTGCAATTATTTAAGTCGCTTAAGGTTTATAGCGATTTCCTAACCAAACAATGCTAATTGACACTCAAAACACAGGTCCATCGAAAGTACATGGTATCCTTCGATTGGTATTTCGACCAAACTTACTTGAGTTGTGCTCGTAGTGTCCATTCTGCTGGTTCATCTTGGCCGGTGAGTCTGTGTTCAATTGCGAGGCGGTCACCGAGCGAGTCTGCAGGGTGTTTGGTTTGGAATTCAAGGCGGATCCGGGGGCGCTGGGCAGACCGCTGCTAGTGGCACTACTGCCGCCGCCATTGGGCTCATCCAGTAGTTGACGAAGTCGCTGCAACTGGGCCTCCAGCTGACGATTGTGATCCTCCAGGATTTGCATGCGCGCCTCCAGGCGTCCTTTGTGCTGACGCAATAGCTTCGCTTCCGCCATCATGTCCTGGAATTGTAGTTAAATAAATTGAGGTATACTATAAAATATGAGCTTGAATTCTCACCTGTCCTTGCTCGCCCTGGCCAGAAAGACCCGTCATGCTGGAACTGGAGTGTTGCATGCCATTGGAGTCCTCGGGCGTGCCACTCTGCTGCTTGCTGCACAGTTGTTGGTACTCCGCCTGCAGATTGGCATTCTCCTCCTCGAGGTCTCGGATAATCGCCTCTAGTTCCTCTCTTTGTTCTGCATCCATGGCAGCCATCACTTGAACAGGCGATTTGGGGGCACTTCCATTTGAAGTTCCGGGCAGGGCCTGGCAATACTGAGCTATCAGCTGGTGCTCGTCATCACTATCTGGTGTAGAGTTGGATCCAGTTCCACCGATACTCCACCTGAGCCAGCCTCGAGGCATACATCTCCAGTCGGGAGTGCATGTCATTCTGCAACTGATGGGTTGTGTGCTGAGGACTAGGCGCAGGACTCTCCAGAGCATCACCTGGTTTTGTGGAAAATTTTGTTAAATTAAATTTTGTTAAATTAGAATAACATTTTTATGAATTATAAACTTACCCTCGAGAACACTCTGTACGGGCAGGTAGCCAACACGTGGATGCTTCTTAAAGTATTTGCGACTCTTGAATTTGTTCTTCAGGGCGCGTGTGAAGTCACGAACGTCCTCGGTGGATGTGGTCTGGAAAATGCAATAGAATAAATTAACAACTCCTTATAACCAAAAGGCGGTCGTCCTTCCACTCACAGTGGTGCAATACTCGTGCATGGGATGCGTGAGCTTGTGGTTCTTGGCATTGCGGCCGAAGAAGAAACACTTTTGGCACATGTCGAAGTTGAAGCACTTGAGGCATCTGTAGCGGAAGCCCACGATCGGGTACTCCTTGCAGATGTTGCACTTGGCCTGATGCTTGGCGGCCTCTGCCGCCGCCAGACGATGGAGCACGGGAAGCCATACGAGACTCTGCGGTTCGTGTTGCAGCCAGCCGAGGAAATGTTGCAGCTCAATTGAGATGTCCTGGTTGCCGTCGATGGCCTCCTGCGAGATGCCAGCCTGCTCCAGGCAAGACCTCACCGAGGGCTCTATGTTAGAGCCTCCAAAGGCGGCAACTTCACCTAGTTGGCGGGGCACCTACAATAAATTATTTGAAATGTTAAATATCTAATTAACAGATTTTCTTTGATAAATAATTGGTGGGAAATAAGCAACTTCGATTTTGTATATTCTAAATTAATTAAATATTAATTTATTATAATGTTAATATATTAATTTATATTTCTTACCTGAATACAATCGTGCAGCAGAAGTCCTAGTCGCCTCTGATCCGCCCGTCGGTCAGTGTCTGCGACCAGACGGAAAAGGTAGCGATACTTCTCCTCCAGGTGACCTTTGCAGAGGAGAACCAGCCCAACCTTGAAGCTCAGTACTCGGATCTGGCCAGTGCGCTGGGAGTCATAGACATTCAGGATCCAGTTGATGGCCAGGTCCAGCATCAGCGTCAAATCAATTTTATCGATTGTCACGTAGAGCGAATGCAGCACCGTGGTCATGTCGGGTATGTCGATAAGCTTGTCGTTTTGGGCACGCAGGCCATGTCGATCGAAAGATTCGCAGGCAGTTGACATGCTGATCCTATCAAGAGCTATTGAAAATATGGCATTTCATATTTAGTGTTGAGAATACTAATACTGAGATTATTAACATACCCAATCGCTTCTGAACTGATCCGCAGTTTCATGGCCGTTCTGTAGGCGGAGAAGCGTATCTCGTTGAGATCTGCCAGGCCCTTCATCAGCTCGATCATTTCGGGATGGTCCCAGTGCGTGGTCTCACGTTCGTGGCTGTAATAGTAAAATTGGTTAAGATAAATAATGGAGTTTTTACCCTTCTAAAAATGTTGCAAATTTATTCATTTTGCTTTTAAAATTCTAAAATTAACTTGAATTTCTTTTTATATTTAGGATTACTTTTACTTACTCGATATAGTAAGGCACATTGGCTGCAGTGGTGGCTCGCTCCCAGGGCGGTTTCACACTTTGTCCAAGATTAGGCAGAGGTCCGATGGTGCCGCTGTTCGATGTGGTGCGACCATCGTCCCCATTCTCGTGCGTTTGTTGGGCCCCAGCCTGGCACAAGACCTTCTGGCGCTCGTCCATCGCGATTTGCAGGAGTTTCATGCTGTTTAATAATAAAATTTATACAATCAAGTATAACCACAATACAAATAATTAAGCAATATCAAAGCTCTACTTACCGCGTATTTAAGTCTTCCAGTTTGGAAAGGCAGGGCGTGGGCACCAGCACCTGATTGGCGGTGAAGAAGGACTGCTGTTCATTGCAATCATCCAGGAGGGCACTGGCCGTCGTCATCTTGTCCCTTAGGCGCTGCAGCTGTTGCATCTGCTCGTTGGCCTCGCCCACGGATGAGGGTGGCAGCCAGGAGGTTTTTGTCTGCTCGGCCAAGGCAACGCGAGAGCTCAGATCCTCCAGGATCTTCTGGAATTGACGCATTTTCTGTAAGAACAAACAAAAATGGCCAATCAGTTATGGGTAAAATGGCTCCTTTAATGAATTATATGAACTTTACATAAGGTTGTTAGTTATAATGTGAATTGATATCCCTTATATTATATCCCCATTATGTGCATAAGACTTCATTTTCCGCAGACAAGAAAATGCATTTAACTTCTTAGCAAGCCCACGTACAGCCTTTATTGCCTACTTCCGGCGCTTTTCTCAACTTTAATTTAATTATGATTATGAGCTTAGTTGAGCTCACGTTGCAGTAACGGCTTATTATAATGCCCATCCTAAGGGGATTAAGCTGTTGGGCCAGTCTGTTCCACAGGCAACATAAGGAGTAATACCAATCAATTCCGGTTAGTGTACATAGATAGTTTAAATCGGATTAGTTAGCCAGACCGATTATCTAGACTTTTTTTTTGCATAATTTGTTAATTTTTTTGCCTTTGTTTTTGGATATACCTTGCTTGTGTGTTTTGTAAACTATTTTAGTGCCATTTCCAAAGAGGTTTTTAAATGGAAATCCCTTTAAAACATCAACTTAAGTAAATCTTAAACATGATTTTTGGCAAGTATGTGCGAATCAGATACAGCTGAGCCATTTTAGCCCCTTTGCATCGCTGGCTTTTTGGATTTTCTAAAGTGTGTGTGTGAGCGGAGAGTCGCTTCTTCATTAGCAGTTAAAAGCAGGCAGCTTGCGCTTTAACGTTTATGTCCTTTGTATGCACTGGGGTATCCCGAAACTCCATGCTCCTCTCTCAGTTTCTTCAGTTTTTGCTGCGCCAATTTGGTGCTTTTGTAACTCTAGACTGGAAAAGGCAGGAAGCGTTGAAAAAGGAGCAACAGGACGAAAAAGGAGCAACATCTGCGCACGTTTCATTTGGCCCATTTTCACTACGTCCCGCCGCTCCAAAACCCCTTGAGAACATTTTCGCTTTTCAATTTTTACCTTGACACCCCATTCCCCATTCTCGCCTTCCCATTTCGTATTTCCCACTTTCCACCATTTTCCATTTCCATAACCCGGCAACAGAAACTTTCATTGCCTGGCGTTTTGCATGCAACAAGCAAAATGCATTTACCTTGGCAAAGCAAAAGTTTATGCAGCCCGCAAGGAGCAAGGAATAAGGAGTCCCGGAATCACCCAGGACTCCAGTCTTTCCTTCCTCTACCACCCACCACCCACTCTTCCTTGTTCGTTTTCTTTATTATTTCATTTAGTTTTCCCAGGCTCCCACAGCTCTCTTTTTTGAAGCCCACCCCGTCCCAGTCCTTTCCATTCTGGCTTCTGTGTGTAGTTTTTTAATTTAGTTTTCTTCGAGTTTGTGTTTTTGATTTGGAACTTTTGCCTTAGCTTTTCCAGCCTTTAACTCTTTGTGGCTCCCGGGGCGAGTTTATGCCCCATAATGCACTTGTCCATGTGTTTGCCTGCCCGTCGTAGCCATGCATTTTCATTCTTATTGCGCCAGCACTTGTTTGTGGCATTTCCTACAGGCAATTTTGGTTTGCCTTTAAAAATTAAATAAATAATCTTTGCTTTCCAGAAAAAGTGGTGATGTTAAAGAGTTTTTTTTGGAAAATTGTAGTATTTTTAAAGTATTACATCAGACTTGAGAATTGAGAATTTTAGAAAAAGTAATAATAATAATTTAAATTATTTATAAAAGTTGATTTTAAATATTTCCCTTTCCAAATTCCGTATCAATATTTAAAATTTAAGTATTGTAATCATCTTCAGTGGTTTTTCCATCTGCTCATTATCTTTTACCCACAAAACTCAAAGAAAAACGCAGTTTTTTTGGTTCACCTCCTCTGCTAATTAAGCACACAAATGATTTCCTACTGCATTGCAAGGAACAAACTCCTGTTGGAAACCTTTGTGTGCGGCTGCTTTGAGCTGCCTCCTATTTATTTTTTAATTAGCGGAGCGGGAAACGCAGCCAACAAAGGCGCCCAAAGGCTGTGGCCAACTTGTCGCTGGCAATCAATAATTTGTTGTTTACAATAAAAATATATATATATATCTGCATCCCCCTTCGACATTCATAGCTGTGCAATGGTGGAGGTGCCTCCATCATTAATTAGTGGCAACAAGCCAACAAAGTGGCCGCCGCCACAAAGAGACAAGACAAGCTGTTTGCCATCGAAGTTATTATGTGCAAAAAGGCACGGGAGGATGGGGAGGTCTTGCACTGATAAGAGGGCAATACACTTTTAAAGCTGCCTCCTTGGCAAAGTTTAATCAGCAAGCTACGAAGAAAAGTCCACGCTACATGCATTGTGGGCCTTTCCCTGCCAAAGGGAATCCTTGCAAAAGTCAACAGGGGGACGGAATATGGGCGGCTGGGTGGCCATAGTTGGAGGCGTTTGTCCATGGCGTGTACTTAAAAAGTGCAACTCTGTGTAATTTAATACCATCCGCTTGACTCCATAACAATTCCTTGGCTTCACTCCACCTGCGGCTGTCGAGCAGGGAACTTGGTTAAATATATAAAGCAAATGCTGTCGCCATATTTTCTATGGCATTACACAGAGCAACATACAGGCGGAAAAATCACAACATAGTTTTAATTTTTATGTTTTAAAATTATGTATTATTAGGCAATTGAAAATGTTCTTCTGTTGCCCATCTTTTTTATTTATTTAGTTAGTTTTTTTGATTTTGTCTAAGATTAATATAGTTTAATAAGGTTTTCTTGGAACTTTTCTTGTAGTGCAGCAGTTGGGTAGTGCCCCACAGAGCTTATTAAAAATGCTTTGTATTTGCCACAGGAAGGTAAAATGGAGGTAAATGCCAAAGCAATGGCAGAAATTTCCAACTTTAATTGACATTTTGCTAAGCTATGACTGCTCAGAGAATTGCGATTTAAAGAGGGGCAGGAACAGAATGCTTCTGCAGTTAGATCAATCATCCTATCAAACTGTTGCTCATCCCAAAATTATTCACTCGTACAGAGGACGGGATTTTACCCCTTGTGCTCAGTGAAGCTGAAAACGGAAATCCTTGCTTGCATTAATTAATTGAAATTGCAAGTGAGACTGAAAAAGTTTCGCTCAAAGAGAGCCAGGGGATTGGGCTAAAAAGAAAACGGGGAAAAGGCGGAGAGAAAAGAAAACTCGGTTAGCAGCTTGCCATTTCCTTTTTTTAGCAAGGACACGTCTACTTAAATAAATCACGACCAACAACGAAAACGAATCCTTTATGGCTGCGGGCGGGAATTAATCAAGATTTCAAAGGAAATGATGGAAAAGAAGAGATGGATAAACAGAGAGCAGCCAAGGATTCTTTTAATTAAAATTATACATTAAAATGGATATTCATTCAGATTAAAAAATGATTTCTCTTGTTCTTTAATTGGAAAATTGGAGTAGTCAATAAACTACATCATTTACTAGGTTACAGATTTTCGATGGTATTTTGAAAGGCAGACATGTGATTTAAATCGGATTTTAACATTATCTAAAAATTTTGTATTTACATTTATATCCATATTAAATCAATTAGTTAAATGTTTATAGGAAAAAACACAAATTAATAAAACAAAATTTTCCTAAATATAATATTTGTTTATAGTTTTTTAGGGTAGCTATAGATTGAAAAAAAGTTACAAATTAAGCATGACCAATATTTCAGCCAACCACTGTTAGCCAATACACAAACCTCATTCTCATCGCGTAAAATTCCCACAACCTGGAGGAACATGCGCTCGGCCTCGTTTTGTGGATCGTAGTTGGAGTAGGTGTCATCCACCAGTGTGATGTCGCCGAGGCGGCAGTGGAGCTGCTCCTCCGACGAGGATGAGTACAGCGACAGAATGTTGCGCCGCCGCTCATCGGCAACATGTTGCACGCAGGCAGCCACTGTTGTTGGTGCTGCTCTGCGATCATTGGCATCATCTTCTGGTGGAGCTTCGGCTTCATCGCAACCACTGCTGCTCAATTGGGAGTAACTGAGGCTCAGTTCATCCATATCCTCGCCTTCTTCCTCATCTTCCTCCTCCTCGTCATCATCATCGTGCTCCATTTCATGCTCCAATTCTGTGCCGCCTGTGCCACTGTCGCCACTTTGCGAACTGGCCTTGGCCTTGGCCACGCCCCCGCCAGCAGATGCCGCCCCAACATTAACCACCACCAGATTGTTCAGGTGGTTACTAAAATGATGCGATTCATTGCTGCTGCTGCTGCTCCGACTGCGACGTTTCAGAGAGCGAAAAGGGGCAAGTAGACGGCGACGAGTGCTGCACGTGGGCGTGGCATAGGGCGGCAGCAACTCCAATGTCTGATGATGGATTTTGGGTGCTCCTGAATATCGCTCTAGCGACCTTGACTTTCCCCCACTACTTTCAAGTACAGAACGTCCTGATCTTCTGGTATGAGAATTCTCAATGATTTCACCTGCCTCATCGCTGGAGCTGTGGGCCATCGCTGGCGATGTTGCAGCTGGTCCACTGCTGGCGAAGAGTCGCATCCTGAAATATGTTTTCAGCTAAAGAGATTCACTTTCTTCAGACGACTACAGTTGCTGTTGCAGATATTGCTGCTGTTTTGGCTACAGTTTAGGATGATATTCCTGCTGCTAAAGATGTTGCATGTACTGCTGCTGTTATTACTGCTCGTGCTGCCGGTCCTGTTGCAGATTTTGCTGATGCTTCTGCCCTTTCGCGAGCTATTGTAGCTCCTGTAGACTTAGTTTATGTTGCTGCTGCTAAAGATGTAACTTCTGCTGCTTGTTGCTGATGCCGCTTTGCCTGCTGATTTTGCTGCTGCTCCTTTCTGAGCTGATTTTGCTGCCTACTGCTGCTCGTCTGCCGAAGCGAGTTAATTAATCTTGTTCTATGCAGATTTCAGGTTTTCGCTGATGCTCCTCCCGAACAACAAAAAACACAAACTTAGGCACTTGGTTGCATCGTTTTAGGGCACATTCTTGCGTAATGAACGTTGTTTTTATGCGCTTATCTATTTATATAAACCGGTTCGACAGGATTCTGCGT